GCACACTTTGCCATACAATACGGGGCCATATCTAAGTACTGGTTGTTTTAAAGCCAATTTGAATATAACCAATGTATTGAAAACTAATAAATTATGCATAAAATATATTTACTGCTCTTTTAGCGCCAATACTCGAGATATTAATGATATTTCCTTTAGTTTTCTCCAAATACTCAATACAAATATGAGTTAAATAGACCACAGAATTGAGATTAAGTGCCATTATTTTCTCGTAATTCTCATAGAAATCCTTATCAATGGGTTTAGTGTTATGTATGGCTCCGGCGTTATTGACCAGAATATCAAGTTTACCGAAATGTTTGATAGTCTGGTCGACGAGACGTCTCATGTCGTCTTTATTGGTCACATCCGCCGCCACTTCCAGTGCTTTAATGCCTTTCGGCGATATTTTCAGACACTCTTTGGCCACTTCTGTGAGTTTGTCGGCTCTCCGACCGGTGACCACAACACTGGCACCCGATTGGGCGAAATGGACAGCAGTGGCCGCACCGATGCCCGAACCCGAGCCCGTGATTAACACCACACGACCCGTGAAATCAAATTTAACAGACATTGGATTTATTGATTGTTTATAATAAAATAGTTATGACAATTTTGTAATAGCAAATGAGTTATATTACAACAATTTAATGCATAACAGCATTAATTTTAGAATGTTTATAGACTTGAATAAAAACTACTAACCAAGGTTAAATTGATTTAAAATAAGAATTAAATGTATAAATGCTTTGAAAGAAATATAAACACTTCCCCTATTTTTAGTAGATAATAATTAAATTAATGTTTAAACATTTGTTTTATTGTTAGCTAGAAAGTATAATAACTGCTGTTTTTAATAATACCATTATGTTTAATCTATTATTGAATTCAGATTAATTCGAGCTTTCATTATTACACATATGTATTTTGAAAATACACATATTTCATATTTACTGCTAACCGCAATTCTAAATGTGTTTATAATGATAATATTAAATAACAATTAGTGTCCATCATTAGACTTAACACGTGTATAGCTCCTATAAATGTTGTAAAAAGTTAATGATAAAACAAAAATTATTATATAATTAATTAAAATAAAAATTATTAAATTAAAAAATTATTATAGTTAGCAATAATTATGATTCAATGGTATATTTATTGTAAATATAATTTTTACTAATTAATTAAATCAAATTATTCTAATATGATTAACTTACTATAATGTTTTGGCAATTCCATTGGCGCTGGCGTTTAAGTTACCGGCGATTAAATTGTAACAAATTGACACGTGTAGTGATATGGGTTTTCTGGACGATTCCGGGTATTTGTATATCAATGGCCGCATCAAAGATATGATCATTAGAGGCGGCGAAAACATATACCCCAAAGAGGTGGAGGACTTCCTAATGACCCACCCGTCCATCGCAGCCGCACACGTATAGCATGTGTTCATTTGTTGATAATATAAATGATAATATAATGCACACCAATAGGTGGTGGGAATACCTGACACACGTCTGGGCGAACGGTTGGCCGCATATATTAAGCTGAAAGCCGACGACGTGTTAGACACTGAAGCTGTTAAGGAGTACTGCAAAGGAAAGGTGTGTTATTTATAATATGTGTGAATGTTATGTAATATAAACATGATCTAAATTCATCTCCAGATCAGTCATTTTAAGATACCGGAGAGCATAGAGTTTGTGCCTGACTTTCCCCGCACTGTCACCGGAAAAGTACAAAAGTTTAAACTCAGAGAACTTGCATTAAAACAAAGTGCATGATT